TCTTTTGGGACAGCACTACATTTTATTAGGATAAGTGAAATAAGCAGCTGCCCACTTCTTTTCCACAGTTGCCAAATAAAGGATTAGAATGAGAAGTCATCTAATTTACTACAGCTAACTTAGTATTTGTGTTGAACTGTGAAAAACAAAAATCTGTACCGTTTTTTCCTTTATCTTTGAGCTATGCTGCCTCCACTTTGTAGCATTAATCTGATGAGTAGTTCAGTAATATAATGCATTTCAGAAAAAACATTTCCTTGTAAGAATTTAGCTGCGAATTTAGTCTCTCTCTGAAGTAGGCAGAGATAGTAATTCAGTATATTTGACTTTAAAGTTCCATTCATCTCTCAATGAGCTCTCCTTTATAATCTTCTATTTCTCTTACTTGGGCTGAATTCCAGAGACTCTTACAATAGCTATTGCAGCTCGTTTGCGCATTGGCAGAAGAAACAAACCCATTAGTCACTAACAGCAGGGGTATGCCTCAGCTCTCAGGCTCCCTTTGATCATTTTTCTGTCTCCAGTAACTCAACCAGATTCTCTTTTTGAAAGTTTTCTGAATCAAAATTGCCATTTCTGGCCGGGGGGAGGGAGAGACTTTTACCTGAAACCCTCATTATGAACACCCCTGAGATGAGTCGCAGGCATCTCAGCTCACTTTTTTTGCATTAAGCAGTATCACACGAATGAAAATAAACAAGCAAATATGACACCTTCAGCATTTTGCAATGCTAATGACAGTAATGTGGCAGTTCCTCTTAAGTGAAAAATTGGGTAGGCTGAGTACTTACTCCTGCCAAGTAATGCTATGGAAGAAGATCCTTGTTCTTCTCAAGACTTGATAACTCACATTAAACACCTGCTGACTGTCTTGTTAAAGTAAGACTCCTGCTAGCTGCTCTCTCCAGCTGAGTTAATAATTATTTTTGGAAGTCATGAGTTTTTGTTAATGAGACTAAATATTGTACTTTTTAATTCGGAAGGGTGGTCCTCACAGTTGCATTCGTATTCAGAAAAAATTCAAGAGCTAATCCTTATTCAATTAGATATCACAGTCCAATTCATAGGAGGAGTGACTGTCTCAAGGCAAAATTGATTTTGTCACCAGCACTGAGGTCTGCTAGACTGACACTGTGTTTTAGCCAGTACTTTCACATTAGATGTCTCCTCCATGCTTTCTCCATGGTCATAAAAAGAAGAAATTTTCATATCTAACATTCCATGCAGTTGTATATTAGCAGTTGCTGTTGACCTTGGTTTTCACTGAGAATTTCCCCATCTTGATTACTATGAGAGTCACCTCTTGTTGGGTTTTTGATGCCACATCTTTACAAGCATATATTGAGATTGCCATCTTTGTCATTCATCTGTATCACCTTTCTTCTCTGTTTTTTCCCCACCATGCCATCTGCAGGTTTCTGAACAAAAGGACCACACTGGTCCTGAATTACATCTTCTCTCCTGGCAAGCTCTCCTGTGCCTTGTACATCTGCCTTTCACATTTCCAGAGATACCAGCTGTGAATTAGCTTTTGTAGCTTTGTCCTACAAACGTCTCAGCCTCCCTCCCCTCCCTAGTTACTTTTCACTGTAATTTCCAGCTGTTTAAGGATTTTCCTGCGAATCAAAATTGCTTTGGTTAGAGGGTCCCCTAAGTGCTGGTGAGATACAATGTCCTGATGGGAACGGTATTTGCAGAGTGTTTTGCTGAATGACCTCTCTGGTCCTCCCCATTTTTGTCTGGGAGCAATTTTGAACTGGCAGCAATTTGTTATTTTGTTTTAATGTGTTGTGGTTTTTTTTTTCTATACGGGGAGAGAAGATTTCTGCAACCCTTTTACGCTGTTTATAGCTAGAACCTGAAAGGCTCAGGCTGGAGTCAGGCTGATGGAGCAGAAGAGAGGGGTCAGCTGAGGTGCAGATTTACAGTTAGGGAAATAATTACATCACTGGTGTGAGGACAGCTTAATTAATTAATTTACATGCCCGCAAAGAGAGAACTTTAACTCACACTTCAGCTCCCGTATCTGGCACTCAGAGCTTTCCAAGTGGAGCTGGAGCCTGTCATTTTGAAAAGTTTGGAGTGTCACACAGAGAAAAAGGCTTAGCTGGTGCATAACATTTTTCTCTCCAGGGACCTAAAGTTTTAGACGGAGTAGAATTGACTGACTTCAGGCCTTCTATGTTAATTTCTGTTAATTAGCTGACATTCCATGTTATAGCCATTGCTATTTTCAATTAGCTGTCAGCAAATATTTTCAGTGCAACTCTTCTGTTACAGAATGGCTTTCCCACAAGTCTGAGCTTACAAAAACAATCAAATGCATGTACGTATTTACTGCCACAGCACCAGCCTAGGCAGGATTTCAGCAGTATCCTAACAAACTGTGACAATGTATTGCTAAGATGGGAGTATGGCTTTGCTGCTTGAGCACTCTTTTAAGTAGGTTTTTCATCAAAGTTGCTTGCCTGTTTATAGCACTGTGATTTTCAGAGATTTTATTATTATTTTTATTTGTAAACTTTTTCTTCCCTTGCCCCTTTTTTATTGTAGATCACTGCTAGAAGTTTGTGGGAAATGTCTCCTTTTTTTTTTTTCTTTTTTTTTTTTACAGCTGAGTTGTGTTTCCTGACTCTTCCTAGTATTTTCTATGCATTAAGAACATTTCACTCTAAACAAGCATTTTGTTAGTATTTTTGACCAGCATTTCAATAAGTATGTCTCTCTTTCTCTACACTACAGCCTCTACCGCCCTGCATCATTGATTATTTTATCCGTGGAGTCAGCAGAAAGCCTGAAAAAGGTTTTTCTCTGTTAACCTGTGCTCTTGCTGAGAGCTTGGCCAGTTGTACTGGAGCAGAAAAGAAATAGAGGGGATCAGCCTCTTAAGTGGGACAAAAGTTATTTCTTGCTGAAAGTCTGTAATAGGAGAATTGGCAGAATTGGCTTTTTGTTTGCTGCAGAAGCTCCGAAGATCTCCCGGAGCAGTGGAGTGGAGAGGCAGAGATCCCCGGGTGGAAAGGCAGATTGGCAGCCATGTGTGCAGCCTTTCGGTGTTATAAATGCTATTTGGAAAGTGTGGCGAGTGGGAACTGGATGGCTGAGGACACTGATAATGAGCTGCGGGTCCCCTCCCTACACCCTCGCTGGTGACTGACAGATGGCACCTTGGTGGCTTTGCAGAATGAGGATGGTCCCTATCCAGCTCTCAGCAGACAGTCGTCCCCATCGTGAAGTGGTGATCCCAACAAGCGTTAATTGCCAACCCTGGTGACAGTCTTAGGAGAGAGAGGCCTGAGGCCGATACATTTCGCTGAGAGGACAGACTTCACTCTCAACATGAATTATGGGCTGATTTGGGGCATTTTACACTGCCACTACAGATTGCCATACCATTAATTTTTCTGTAAATAAGGAGTTTTGGTCCCTGAGGCTGTCAGTCCACTCCTTTCCACTGTAACAGTTTTTAAAAGTATAGTTAAAGACAGGAAATGGAAAAGGTCGTTTACCTTTCTCTTACAAAATGCTGTGGTTTTTCTGCTGATCTCAGTACTAAATTGGAGTTACCCTAAGTTTAGATTTCTTGTTGGAAGGAGGGGACAATGGCAAGGGACATTATTCCTGGAAAATTTTGCTCTGCCTGAGGATTATATATCATGACTGTATGATTTGTAAAGGGACACAGAAATGTTTAAGGAAAAATAAAGCATTGAGGAGTTAACCAGCAAAGCAATCGATGTGCAGTGATCAGTATGAGGAGGGAGGGGTATGTAATATCTTGGCTTACTATCATCAAAATTTTCTACTGTGGGAATTGGCACGTTAACATATGTAACTGAAAGTGAAATTTGAACTTCTTTCATGCAAACAGAAATAACTTTCTGCCTTATTTCTTTCTCTTTAAAAAATGAAATCGAAATATTGAGGGAGAAGTTTGAAAGATATTGATTGCATTTTGAAGGCATATTATTAAATCTCTTGAGTGCTTGTTGATCTTGGATCATTTCATTTTCACAGTGTTTCAGACTGAAAATTATTAGTAATTCTTTTTAAGTTGCAACTAAATTACTAATTAACTTTTGTCTCAAAGATTTTATTCCTTACGTGTTTCTGCCAGCACAGTGTGCTCTTCATACAGTGCAGCAGAAATTATTTCCTACCTGCTTCTCTATGCCCCTTGCAATCATATAAAGCAGTTTTGGAATTAATGAGCTGTCAAATCTCAGGTAATGAATGAAAAGAACTGACAGCAATTCTTTTGTTGTTTAAGAAATGCCAAATAATTAATAGAAAAAAAGTGACAGAGATTCTTTTAGGATTTAAGAAGAAATGCATCTTTCAAATTCATTGTATGACTGAAGAAACTTTAAAATATGTCTTCAAAAAAGCAGAGATCCTGCTTAATGGCTTAATTCCAATTCTCTCTTCCGAGATAAACTTGCAGAATTTGAGATAAAAGGATTTTATGTTTTAAGAAATAGATTCCTAGTCCACAGGTTCCCCATTCCACGTTCATCTCAAAAGTAAAAAATGATTCCTTTATTTGCCATTGTGGGCATATTTGAGTTAGGTACTGAGCATGTTTATAGTGAGTGTGTCTTGTGTACAGAGAAGACCATGTCAACTGCAGGATAGGTTTGGGGAGGGAGAAGTGTTTCCTTGTTTTATGGATTTTTTTCCAGTCTGTAAAGTTACCTATTCACTGTACCTAATGTCTCTGCTACTGTTATTTTTCAGGTAATCGTGTCAGATGGGGGCACATCTCCCAAGCAGTCCTCCGTTTGGGTGGTGGTCCAGGTTCTGGATGAAAACGATAACAAACCTCAGTTTCCAGAGAAAGTCTATCAGATCAAGCTGCCCGAAAGGGACCGTAAGAAAAGAGGGGAGCCTATCTACAGAGCTTTTGCTTTTGACAAAGATGAAGGCCCTAATGCAGAAATCTCCTACAGCATCGTGGATGGAAATGATGATGGAAAATTTTTTATTGATCCCAAAACAGGGATGGTTTCATCCAGAAAGCAGTTCACAGCAGGGAGTTATGACATCTTAACAGTAAGTGCTCTTCCATCAACATACAAAACCATAATTTGACTGCCTTTGTTTTAGAAATAGGCCTGCTTGTATAAAGAGTGATATATAACTGTGTTTAATGGCTGTCGTGGAAGGAGTAAGAGAAGCACTGAACTCATAAGAGAGAAGCAATAATATATTGATATAAAGCAGTGAGTTAACGGATTTCAATAGTAGATGTGACAGTGGTTTCACAAGATTTGATGGCAAGGTACACTTATTTACTGCGTGTAGGACAGGCTCAGAAAAAAACTGTAAGGGAGACCCTCATGTTGAGTCACAAGGTTCAGAAGGGACCCCGTTGCTTTCTAAACTCTTTCTCAGAGAGGAGTCTAGGTGCAGCTGGTTCCAGTCCTAGTCCCTGACTTGGTCAATGGTTTATGTCTAAAGGATAATACATGTGCACAATCAATCTTTTATATCACTTAGCTAAGATTTCCAAGTTTCAGTGCTTATTTTCAATTCAGTTACCGAGTATCTGACATGATAAAGATTCTGTCAACCTCAAGGAGTAACTTTGAGAGGCATCCCTACTCAAGGGGGGATCCTGGCACACAGCCCACTGCCATGCATGAGAGCTCCAAGGGCTCTTGAGCTGCTCACTATTTATGCAGTTAGGATGACTGACTGATACTCATATTTGCATACTGATCACAGATGCTGTTTTCTTCCAAATTTGGCTTGAGTTGGACATTGACTAGCACTGTGGCTAGGTGGGCGCATTGCTCACCTTAGTCTTTGGTTATTGTGTTGTTATCTGTCTCCTCTGAGTCCACTTTGAGCTGGATGCAGCAGCCATCGTGACCAGATGCATCCATTATGACAGCTACTGGTGCAGGTGGGGAGGGCAGGAGGGAGCACACCATCACAAAGACCTATATGTAAGATCTGAACTGGGCAGATACTGCTATGAATGGTTATTCACCTTTTGTGCGGACACAACTGTTTGCCCTCATGGAAAGATCCTTATACTGTCCAAGTTAGGTGGCTTCAGGGAGGAGGAGTACTGTGTACAGTATTTTGTAGTACCTTTCTCACCACATTATAAGTAAGGCAGCAATTTCAGTTTAAACTTATCTCAGTCAAAATACTTCTGCCAGAACTCAACTCATATAGACAAGGTCAAAGAAAGAAAGAATACAAGATGGTGATGTTGATATAAAGCAATAAAAGACTTGAATGTGCACTGTTAAGGAGTTGACAAAAAATATCGGAGGTCTGGAGTCTGGCCTGTAGTAAAGGAAGCTGAGAGAGTGGGGCTGTTCAACCTGGAGAAGAGAAGGCTCCAGGGAGATTGTATAGTGGCCTTCCAGTACCTGAAGGGGCTACAAGAAAGCTGGAGAAAGACTTTTTATAAGGGCAGTTAATGACAGAACAAGGGGAAATTAGTTAAAGCTGAAAGAGGGGAGGTTTAGATGAGATATTAGGAAGAAGTTCTTCACTGTGGGGTGGTCAGACACTGGAACAGGTTGCCCAAGGAAGTTGTGGATGCCCCCTCCCTGGAAGTGTTTAAGGCCAGGCTGGATGAGGCTTTGAGCAATCTGATCTAGTGGAAGGTGTCCCTGCTGATGGCAGGGGGGTTGGAACTACATGATCTTTAGGGTCCCTTCCAACCCAAACCATTCTATGATTCTATGAAGCAATGTCACTTACAGTAACGGGTCTCTGTTGGGACACCTTCATAGGGTTGGAAACTGTGATAGGAAAATGAAGAATTATCAAAATACTGAGATATATGTTGTAATGAGTAGAGCACCCTTTGAGGGAGTGAGTGCCTTTCCCTGTGCAGAGCTGGAAGTCACATCTGGGATCTGGCCCTTGTTATAATTCAGCAGCTGAAGATTTTCTACCTTGAAACTGCTCATCGCACCCTCAGCATCTTCTCACTAAGGGTCTGCCCACCTTGAAAGGAGCAGGGGGGCGAGTGTTAGCACCAAACTCACTTAACACATTTCCAGAGAAAGAAATAGGATATGGTATTTCAGGAAAATCCTTCCAATTTTTAACCAACATAGTAACAGTGTATTTACACCAGTGGTCCTATGTAGGCAGAATCATTTCCTTTAGTTTTAAAAGAAAAACCCATTTGATTGACATTGACATTATTCACCAAAGCACCCATTTTGCAACCTACATTCTCCCTTTCCTTGTACCCAGTGTTTGTGGCTACTCATCTTGTCTTTTATGTGCTAAAACCATAAAGCATGCCAGGCAAATATCAAGTCTATCCATCCCTCTAGAGGCCATTATAATAAAAAGAATTAGCACCAAGCTGGGCAACTCTTAATGAACATGACTGAGAGGAGAAAGCAAGGAAAATAAATACGGCTAAATTTTAAATTATATTTGTTTTGGAGAACGAGGGAAATGATCTGAAACTTATTTAGTTCAATTAAAGATCCTGAAGAAGGCAATGTATGGAATATCAATATTATCTGCAATACAGATGCCATTTAAAAGCGATCAAACATGATCTGGGTGAACATGTGTCGCAAGTGAATGACATCCCACAGAGTCATTATAAAGCTCCCAGCTTTGCTGCAAAAAGAAACTGAATGGAAGATGAAATTGGAGACAGAAGCTGGTTCTGGAGAGGAGGATCTGTGTCGGGAGCACTTGAATTGCATCTCCAGGAGGCCTTATACCAGCATTTCTAAAACAAAACATTTCAGTTTGACATCAGTCCTTTCAGTAAAAAGTCAGAGTGTAATGGAAAAAATGAGAATTGAGAAAGAAGCGCTTATCTCCCTCTTTTTTCATGGGATTTTACGTGGAGGATTAAAAAGGCCATTTTCCAAGCAGTCATCATCATGCAATAGAATTAGGTCTGAACTGCCAAGCTGTGATGCTCAGTCTGAGTCCTCTTTTCTTTGTACCTGCCAGATAAAAGCAGTGGACAATGGCCGGCCCCAAAAATCTTCAACTGCACGCCTCCATATTGAGTGGATAAAAAAGCCTGCGCCCTCGCCCGTGCCCCTGACTTTCGATGAACCCTTTTATAACTTCACCATCATGGAAAGTGATAAAGTGACAGAAATCGTTGGGGTGGTCTCTGTGCAGCCATCTAACATTCCTCTCTGGTTTGATATTGTCGGTAAGTTGGGAGCCAGTGGTCTGAGGAGGACACTTCAGAAGCAAAGCATATGGATGTGTGGTTTTGAGAGCAAGAAAACTAACTGTGAACTGTCCCCCCAAATTAAAGCCACTTTCGTAATGCTGAAATTAAAATGCTATTTTAATGTAACGATAACAATAATAATAATATTCCTGCTTTTGTTATGATTCCTTAGCTAAGCTGAAAAAAAAAGCGCTGTATGGCTGAATTGTTTTTTTTCATACTATGTTATTTACTGCAATCTTAATGTTGTCTGTCATTTAAATTCTATTGTCATACTTTGCTAATCTCATTTCTAAATGTATTTATGGTACTTAGACTTGCTGTCCCTCATTTCTCTCTTTCTTCACCTTTTTTTCTGCATTCTGTTCTTTTTTTTCTGCTTCCGACTGCCCTGCTTCAAGGTGGCAAGCATGCTCGAGAGATGTTCTATATTCTACAGACAGCTTGTGGGCAGAACTGTTCAACAGAAGGTACCCTTAGTGCAAACACATTTGCTAAAATACAACTATCCAGGCTGCCTTTTATTTTTGCAAGTTCTTTGAGACAATTTATATTACATCTTTCATAAGTGCCTGTGACAGGATGCGATGCGACACATGGATGTGCTGCGTTTCTTTCTATGACAGCTTTTACCGTATTTGTGTCCAATTATTATCATTTTATTCACGGATTTTCCACAGTTTATCACAAATAATTAATTCAAACTTTTCACAGTCCAGTGCCATCCATTTAACTGTGAAACAGAATGGGATGCATCAACATATGGGTTACAAATGGAGCCACCAAAAGTTTGTCTTGAATGCAAGCTGAAAAAGAGAAATGTGTTTTGATGTGAGATTTCAACCACAAAATTGCCTTACATAAAATTGGTTATAAAAGCAGGGAGGGAGAAATATCCTTAGCACAGAGGAGGAGAAGCCATGGACGTAACGATCTTAAAATCTCAGGGAAATACCACTAAGGGTGTAACTGCCAAAAAGACAGGGAGTAAAGGGTTTCACTTGGTTGCAGTGGAGAAACAGGAATCAATGTTCCTAAGCATTTCTTTCCCACTTCTGCTGCTGATTCAGTTATGTCATTTTAAAAAACTCATTTAACTTCTCCAAAATGAGACCTTTCCCTGCAGCACAACGACCCTGCAAAGTTATTGTGCTATTTAATATTTTCAGATACTCGTACGTAATGTTCGTATACCTTTGGATGTAAAACACTGTGTCTGCACAAAGTGGTGTTATTTAAATGAAAGATTAAAAAGCAAATACTATATGAAAGATTAGAGAAACAAAAAGCCTTTGCGACAGACTTAGTGGAGAGGGTGCATCAGCAGTCTTTATTTACAGGGATTGAGCCTGGCTCTCATTTCAGCATAGCTATTTGCAGATGGGTTTAGCCAAGAGGAAGGACAAGCACCACAAGAGAAGGAGTCTGGCAGAGTCGTTTTCATCCACCTTTTATTGCCAGTTTGTGCAGATGAAAGACAGAAGCAGCAACATTTCCTCTTTGAATTTGTAGCATGGTTTCTGATGTGCCAACCACATTAAAATTAAACCCAAAGCTATTATCATATTCTAGGGTTCCTGCTAGCTCCTGGGGATGGACAGCATATGTTTCCTACAGTTTTCCTCCCATTCCCCTGCTTGTTTCAGTGTGCTACAGACAATTTATTAGCTAATGTTTACATTCTCTTTCTTTTCCTCACTGACCCTAACTTTCCTCCCAGGAGAAATTCATCTTTATTGATGTTATTGACAGTTGTTTCCCAATTGAACCTTTTGCTGTCTTTCTCAGCCTTTTGGACCTTTCCATGGTGCATTCACCAGTTCTCATTAAAATTCTGCCTGTGTTAAGCAGTAAGAGAAGTCCTAGCTCTTCCGCTGTGTTCTTTTACATTATTAGAGTCACCTGCAATCTAGTAACACCTTATAATAATATTTCTTTTTTGCCTACCAAACAAAGATGATGGAGAGAGCATTATGAAATTTAAGCCTTTAATTTGTTATTTAATGGGACCTTTACAGCTAAAATAGTTCAAATTGTTTAGAAAAAGATTTTTGCTATTTAAACAACCCTAATGATTTCCCTGTAGGCTGTAGCTCCTGATGCTGCATGATGCTGCATCACTGCAGAGGGTCACGGAGACAGAGCTTCCCTAGACTTAATGAGAAATTGTAGCCCTGACTATCCAGTTCGGTACTGTTACCTTATGAATTTTGTTATTAAATATTACTGCTGTTATAAATAATAGCACTAGCAACAGCACCCATTTCTGCAACAGAAATAGCCAACATGCAGAAGACCCTGTTGTACCAGACACCCTGCAGGCAAAGTGCAAAGCCAAAACCCACCCTGAGAGATTTATAGATAGAACACTGTAAGTTTAGATTATCTTTAGTCAGTGTCAGTATCAAAATGACTTTTTCTCCTTGTTCCTCAATATCGTCATGTGGAAAAAGTGATGTTGATATTTTCCTGTTGGGGGAACATTGAGGTCTAGTGCTGAAAAGCACAATGAAAAATGTGGGTTATTAGTAGAAGTTAGTTGTCATGTATAGAAAGCTGTATGGGACTGCTGATGCAAGGGATGGTTTCCATGCAGCTATAAAACCTAGACCTGATCCTACTCCATCTGGTATTCTGTGATTTTGGACCTCCGTGAGCAGTTCACAGTAATGTCAACAAAAGCCCTGAAGGCTTATGTAGAGGCATGGTTTAATATAGAGTTTGCAGCTTGACCTTTATGTTTATGACCTTTTCAAACTAAATGGGCATTGGAGTTCCAGAGGACCTCTTTTTTAATGCATGACATGCACTTTCTTGCAGCTGAAAAAAGAGAGAGGGTGGATGAAGTTTGGCTATGTAGTATTCTGTCTGCCTAACTTCAGCATCTAATTTACACCTAAATTATACACACTTTAAGTAACTGTTTAAGTTCTTGAGTTACTCAGCTCCAAGAGAGGAATGTGCCTTGCAGAAAGGGAGATAATCTTCCCTCCATGGACCGGAGAGGAACAGGATGCTTGCCTGTTTTTTTCCTTGTTTAATTGGGAGTGGTTGAGATGTCATACCTGGTTTCTGTTTTCAGACTGCATTCAATGCCATTCTCAGTTCATGCAGATCCCACAACATGAAAGACTTGAACATAGGTTGTTACAGTTGTGTTAAATTTATTCAGTCATTTATGATAAACTAATTTTCAATGGTAACTCCAAAATAAATAAGAAATTTTTATTTCTCCCAGGTAAATTGAGCCCTCTCTGTCTCTTCCTTCGTTTGTTAGTGGTTGGAATGGTGTGATGATTACTTTGACACTGGAGCTAAGCTGCATGGTGCTAGTTTTTGCTTAAGTAGCATGTTGCACAACATCTCTCTGATTCTCCAAACAGGCCTCCCTCTATCTTTCTTTCTTCTGCCTTTATAAGAGCAGCCAAACTTTAAAAGCACATCAGAACTTTTTATCAAGGGTGCTTAAATGGCAATAATTTTAAGATCTATTAATTTCAATTAATTGACCATTTATTTTACAGTGCTGCAAATTTTCATTAATGTCAAAAACATGTAGCTCCCTAGCCTCCTTTGAATTATCTTCTCTCAGAACTAGCTGAAGTACCTTTCTGATTTCTTTTCTGCTTTTTATGCTCTGGCCTTCAGCTTCTTAGCAGCAAACCCAAGGCTTTGACTCTCCTTAGAACAGTTTTATCTGAAAATTCAGAGTCTGCATTATATTCTTTTTAGCATGATATAGTACATGAGAGAATAAATATTTGCATGTTGTGTTACTAATATTCATTTTGTTATGATTAGCAAAAGTCTGTAGTTGACTTTTTATTTCTTGAGGCAGTTGCTAAGTTTATTTCATCCTTTTTTGAGAACAGAAAAATTGAAATTTTTAGCTGTGCTTCTTTTCCTGAAAATCCTAGAGGTACTTCAGACTCACTCTTGAGTTTCAGGGTGGATTAAATCTCTTCATTTTCCTCTGATTCTCTTCTCTGAGCAATGTGAGAATTGTAGCAGTTGGCCCAGTTTATCGTTTTTGTCCTTGGTCATGTTAGATTACTTTGGGGCAAGAAAAATAAGAATCTTATCTTCCCTGAAAAAATGTGTTTTAGAGATCTGTTCTCTAAATTAGATCATCTCCTGTATTTCTCTTCTTCTCCACTCATCCATCATGGCATGGTAGACCAAATGAGACTTGTGTGAAGATCTCAGTATATCCTGGCTTTGTTAAGTTTGGACATGGAGCATGTATGGTCTTTGCTGTCTACCACTGAAAGAAGACTCTTGCCAAGTTTTAGCTTTATTTGATTGGGGAATGTCTTCCAGAATTCAGTGTTATTCATCTTTACATCTAAGACTGAATGAGTCTGATTTTCCACAGTCATCAGATATTTCTGAGACGTATATTCAATCGCTCTATTCTGGATTGTTCCACTGGAAAAGAGGGAGAAAATACTCACATGGGACTTAGTTGCCTACAAGTCCTCCAGGTTTGCTGACATGTTTTCTTCTCAGAGGAGAAAATAATTTCTCACAGCAGCATAATCCTGTCTTAAACTATGTTATCAGCAGCTGATAGGAACATAGAGAGGCTCAGCATCTTCCCATAATGGAACCTCATCTAAGAAACGCACTACAAAAAAAATCATTGCTTTCAGTAAATGCAGTAATCAAAATATAAGAAGAATATACTTAAAATAATAATAATAATAATAAAACAACCACTGGAATTCAGATGCAGAGCCCACATTCTGTGGGAATACCAGATCTACATTGTATCTTGCCTTAAGCAAATTCTTCATCTGACCTCTAGAAACCCATTTTAACAGTTCAGGAAGTTTTCCTTGGCCTGTCTGTTGCACCAAATGAGTAGTAAGCTTTCCATCAGAAGGTCCGCTCCTGTTAGTTGTGTAAGGTTCAGTGCTTTTTTATTAAAAGGACAATTAATTCTTTCCAGAGCATAGGGGACTTTGGTCAGAAGAAAAATATGTTCGTAGTGACTATGAAGCCAAGAAACAAGCTAAGAACCAAGGTAACACTCCAAATTCAGCCAGAAAATGTAACCAAGACTACTCTACACCAAGAACACAGTCTATACTCTGTTGGCTCAGAGGTGTCTTGGTTCAATTTCCTGAGATCTCCTTCTTAACCATACTATACCATCTGTTAAATTGAAAATCAGGGCTGTGCTGGAAAGGTCTCACGAAGCTGTAGTGAGAGCCAGCTAATAAGATCTTTTGTACTGGGGCTGTTTCTACAGCTGTCCTGACTTGATAACAGCTGGAATTGGCTAGAGTTATGTTGGAAAATCCTATATAAACTGTAACGTGCTTTCAGATAACATAAAAAAAAAAAAATCCTAGTTGTAGAAATACAATGGTTCCAAGGCTTATGCAAGAGCATTAAGATCAGTCTCAAGAAAGTAAGGGTGGAAATCGTCTCACTTAACTTTAGGTGTCCAAAGCATAGACATAGCTATCTGTGCTAGATGTCTTTGAGAAGCTTAATGATCAATTAGAGAGAAAAAGCACTTTTTGGACGAATTTGTATCATCCAAACATGATAAGTCTTCTCATCCAAAGATGGCATTGCAAGTAGATGTGGACTTTTCATGAAATCCCACTCTAAATGCTTCAGTCTAATCAGAGTATTTTAAGGAAAGCCTTTAATCTGTATTGAAGATATATCAGCATTTCATCTTAGCCTGCAGTGGTATTAGAACAACAGCTAAATTGCATCTCTCTGGGGTCATTCGCTGTTAAAATACTTTCTCAGGACAACCTGTCTGGCCAACCTGCCAGTTCAGTCAACTTGTCTTCTTTATCCTTGATTTTCCCAAAGTGCCTGAGGAACTCACAAATGTATTATCTCCATTTGAAATATTTCTTTCCTAATGCAATTGCATGCACATTAACAAAGACAGCTTCTACATGTCTTGTATCTGAAAGCAGATTTTAGTAGACAATAAAAAAGAAAGCGTGTGCCATATGTTGGAAAACGGAAGAAGTAATATAAATTCACATTAATAAAACTGAGCAGCTGAACAAGATTTCATCATCCTTAGCCCCCTGTCACCTAAGATTGCAATCAAAGATAACGTTAAATGGTCAATAGCAGCATTGGTAAAACTTGATGCTGCAGGAGTTTACAGCATGGCAGATGAGCTCGCTTCAAAAGGGTTGGTAGTTACCTGGCAGCATGCTTTCGAAAACAGTCCTCAAGTACCCTAGAAGTGTGTGAAGCTGACACCTTCTCAGCTGTCACTTCCTGTGGGCTCAGCCCTCAGCATGAGCACCTTTGGAAGGAAGTGGTTTCATGCAGAGTTCCCAGAATAGTTCAGCTGCAGGAGGTTTTAAGAGAAAAGTCCTGTTTGTTTTTACACGACTCTCTCTGTACCCCTTCAACACCCATCCTTCAAAGATAATTTTGTTGGGTGCTTCTCTGGGTGCTTCATAGTAGGCCTTGCATAGACTTAATACATCTATGAGACTCTTAGAGTTTAGCAATTACACTTAATTCAGTAATTATTCTTCAGTGCTCAAGTGCAACTTCAGAAGCATTCATCATATGAGGAGCTGTTTTGAAAGTATATGAAAACTGAGGAGCAGTACAAAGCATTTTCAGACTTCCTCCAGTACTCTAGATGAGAGGCAGAACCCTATGTCTCAGGCAATATTTCCAGAAGTTCAGCCACCTGAGTCATTCTTCATTGTCAACATCTGACCAAGGTCTGTTAAAATGTACCAGGCTGAATCAGGAATAAATCAGGATTTCACTCCAAAAGAGATTATAACCACAAATCTCACAGCAGGATGTTCTCTGATCCATCTCTATCTCAGTTTTTGATGCAGTTTCTGCACTGTTTAATAGAAAATGAATCAATGTAAAATAAAGTGCATTGCCTGGTTAGTTAAAGGTATAGGCTACGGTGGGGTGGCTGGTGACCAAGATTTATTTGCTTGCCACTAGACCATTCTGGAAGATGTGAATAACAGAAAAACTCGTATGATGGATTGGATTCAGTTCTTATTGTAGGGGAAGAATAGACTCAACTTAATGAAAATGTCTTGAGGAAGTTGGTGTGTATTTGCAATACACTGCGTAGTGCCCTGCAAACCCAGCTCTAAGCCAACAGAGGAAGGGCATTTAAAACATTTATTGCTAATCCTTCCGTGTTACTTCTTGGAAGTTTTAAAGGCAGGATTTCTTTGGAAGTTTGTGCCAGTTGGTAGCATATAATTTTTGATTGCTCATTAAGATGGTTATTAAGCATCTTGAAGTATAGGCTTTCATTTTGTTTTCATGGTTATCAGTATGAAACATTCTCCCTGTAAAATGCCTACTGTCCCAAGGCTAACTTCATTTCAGCAGCGATTTCCTTGCATGAATCTCAAACTCTCTTCTTCAAAGGAAGCTTTTTTCAGAGTTGGTTTTCATGGTACAGTTTTTCTCAAGTAAATCAATTTAAAACAGTAATTGTGAGATTGCATCTTTTTATTCCATACTAACTTTTTTAAAAAAAAAAAAAAGAAAACCCTGAAGATGTGATCAATGTCCAAATACCTTAGTGTTGCTTAAATATCAAGGACAATTAATGCTTTTTTTTTCCTATTGTCAAATAGTGTTAAATATATATATATATCAATTTCAAAAAATATGCAATTTGGGCTTGCAGAAGGAGGTTGGGGAATAAGCAATGTTCTTATCCATCCTGGAGAACTACAACTGTATCAGTTAGGCTCAGAGCTATATATATGTATATACCTGTACTCAGCATAGGGAAGTCTGATGGCACATCTGAAGTGACTATGTTTTGTTCATTTCAGTGGGCAGAACTTCACCAATTCTGCCTTGCCTTTGCGTAGATCACCTGCACTCTTATTCTTCCTCCCTCTTTCTTCTCACCCTCCCTGAACGACCTCCAAGGCAGATATGGACAGAGCAGTGTTTCTTCAAGCTTGCAATTTCTTTGCAATAGCCTGTGCAAGAGGTAGAGAGAAGTGAGGGTTTCTTTACATTAAGGAATTCAGGGGTTATGATTTCACTGTGATTCCTCCTACTCTTCAACTTCTTGGAATGCCAAAACCTTTTTTCTGTCACTAAATGCATGACTATTTCTGAGAATAATGTGGCTTTTGGCCAGCAAACCATGCAGATGCAAGACTTGATGGTAGAGCAAGGAAGACCATCCCCTTCACTTCAGTGTCCCCAGCCCTAAAATGACAGCCATTTTGTCATAATAAACCAGCCATTCAAATATATATATATATCTCTATATATTTTGCACGAGAGCTAAATCAATGGATTGGATGTTTTTCTTCCTGTGGATCTAATCCCAAGAGGTCTGAGCAGCTCTTAAGAAGTTTTATAACCAGTGGGTTTTGAAAGCCTTTTCTGCTGGTAGAACTGGCTTGTCAGAGACAGTACCTAGTGGTATTGCATTGCTGTGTGATGAATATACCTTAAGAGTTTGTCAGCAGTGTTGTGTTCCACCTCTCCCTGTCCCCAGCCTCCAAGAATTTCAGACTCAACTCATAATAAATTCCACTTTATAGATAAGTGAGTAAGAAGCAGCTTAACAGTGGGGAGTGTGTGCTTTACTTTCAAACATAATGAGTGGTTCTAATTTATAAACTATAGCTGTGGCTGAGAAATCCTGTAACCCTTTAATCTCAAATTATTTATGGCTTTCTCTTACTTTTTAATAGATTATTTTTTTCTTTTTCCTTTTTTTTTTCTTTCACCTGAGACTCAGGAGGGTTTTCCCACTGCTGCATCATTCAGTGTGTGACAGGATAAGGGGATATTAGTTTCAGAACAGTGCTTTGTGAGGTTGGTTTTTTTTTTAATGGAAAGGAATTTATGATGTGTATCCTGTCAGATCTATTTAAGTAATTCCTAAAAGACTAGTAGAATTTGACCTTTGCTGCCAGTAATTATCATTGTCCTTGAAATTAACATAACAAATCTCTATTTGCATTTTTAAAATTTATTATAATTTTAATTTTTAAAGACTCAGTTGACGGTCTTTGCACCCACGAGCATCAGTGAGAATTTCCTGAAAATAAAATTTGCAGAGTAAAACCCTCTAGAAACAATTTTTATACAAAAAGATAATTGTGCTTGTTCATTATCGAAACTACAAGGGCACACATCTTACAGGCTTATAGCCATTTGATTCTTTTTATAGACTCAGTTATGGTTCACTTAAATATACTGCTAGATTCTTTTTCTTGCAGTGCATTTTAATGATATCTGCTTTCCAATATACAAACTGTGCTTTGAAATATAAATGAGTTATGAACAAAGAAGTATAGTAGATGTACTGTGTATGCAAAGGCAAGCCGTTAAGATGGATGCCAGTAAACAGATATGCCCACGTCTAGGAACATTTTCAATGGAAATATTCCAGAGATGGCTAATTTAATTGTATTTTTGTGCAACAATTAGGAGGGAATTACGATAGTTCTTTCGACGCGGAGAAGGGAGTGGGCACTATTGTCATTGCAAAGCCCCTGGATGCAGAGCAGAGGTCAATATATAATATGACTGTGGAGGTCACCGATGGAACAAACATTGCCACGACTCAGGTAGAATATCACATTCCTTTCTTGGCAAATTTTTAATTTGTTAGTGGAATGTATATGCTATAAAAATTAATAATTTTGCCATTCAAATAAAACCTCATCCTTTGAGAGCACTGTTAAGTAATGGAGGGGATATTTTGCAGAGCCTTTCTGGGGATATTTTTCTGAGGTTTTCCATCTGGTTTTAAAGAATTGTCTGTTGAATGTTTCAAAGCGGTATTTCTCCTTTTGTCCTCTTCGTTCTCACGTGAAAGTAATTTGCCCTCCTCCGGCTGAGGGAGTCCTTATCACAGGCAGAGTAGCTTAGATTTTGACAATTATATCACCCCATAATCGTCCAAAATACAATAGTGCTTCTGTGGTGTTGGGAATATTGCTATTGATCGTATTAAATTGAGTTTATACCTCTCATCCTCCCAAGACCCAAATGTGGGACACAGGATCAATTGTTCAGAGAATAAATTGTTCAGAGAGGAAACTTAAAATTCAAAGGATCTCTCCTTTAGTGTCACTGCCTGTGATTACATTGTCTTCTGGGGAACAGCCCCAGTGAACCCTTTAAAACCAGATTTGCTTATCAGGGTCAGTGCCTTTCAGCAATTAAAAAGTCAGGTCAGATAAACGTGAAGGGCTGGGTTAATGCTGGCTCTGACACGTCCTTGTTGGAGAGACTCTGACACAGAGCCTGGGTATGTGTTTGATGGGAAGCAGTCTGGAGTTGGGACATGGTCAGGGTCATGGCAGCAGGACTCTGCAGTACAGGTAGCACCAAGGAGAGAGACTCTTGACAAGCAAAATCCTTCCATACGAGGTGGAGCTGTGGAGTATGGATTAGCTAGGGCCTGAAATCCTACATCTGCATTACTGCCCAAGTGTCAAGTGTGCCTATAGCCTAAATATTATTTGGCACATAGGGAAAAATACATACTGGTAGAGGACAGCAGTGTGCAGCTGCAAAGCCCAGATTAAATGTGGTTTATAAAGGTTTTTAAAATTGAAAAAAAATAGGTTTGTGATGTTATTTTCTTCTTTATAATGCAGAAGGAATGCCTGAACATTTTTTATATTTACATATGTGCATGCACGTGCAGATGCTTCTGTTTTACCTTGCCTTGTTGCTCAAATGGTTCAGATGTGAATCTGTATTCACTGAGTCACAACCCCAGCTTTCCTAAGAGACTGTTAAATCACTGAGTGCTTTCTCAATCTGAATTCCTGTTTATAAGCAGCCCTAAAATCTCTGCTGAAGTATCCCTATCTAATAATTTCTCCTGATAATCCACTCTTGATAAGAAAACATCAGCTGACAGTAACTCAGGTGGTAGGAAATCTGCTATTTTCCCTGTTAGTTTCAGTAGCTAATTGCAACTCTGCTGAAAACATCCTTTATTTTTAACTTGATTATATCTGGCCTGTATTCCCTGTTATGCCTTCATGTGCTCGATTAAAGAGCTCTTTAAAAGCCAGTCTTTTCTCCCCAGGAAGGCACTTACTCAGAATAGTCAAATCACCTCCCAGTCTTCTGGCAGACAAGCAGAGGAGAATGACTGACCTCTTTACATTCCTTTTCCATAAGGCATTTTCTTCAGCCCTTGAGTAGTCTTTTGTTTTGCTTTGGTTTTTAATCTTGGCGACAATCTCAGTCCACATTTCAGAAATGTGGTGTTGAATCCCTAACACGACATTTTTTTGCTTGTAAATATGTCAGCCAAACAAATATTAAAAAGCACTGGGAATTTCAAACATGCTGGATACAAGTAATTCTATTCTCATGGATATTATGTTTATTTATTGTTTTTGCTGCTTATGATTTAATAAATTGACCCCTATGATAGTCCTCAAAACCTGTTTTGATTAAAACCCTACATTTTTAATTAAAACATATGGTAAAAACATATTTCAGTAAAGCTGTTGCATTCCAAAAGAAGCCTGAGTATTCTTTGTAACAGAGATGTGACCTATTTAAAAATGTAAGATCACCATTTAAGATTGCAATAGTATAGCATTAGCTAATCAGTAGGTACAGGCCGTTCTTTCCTCCACCTCCTTCTCTCCATATGGATACTGTTTAAGTATTTAATTGTGGCCTGGACAACATCAGAGAATGTGTTTCTTTTGGTCTTCACAACAGAGATCTCAAAAGAGATCATTATCTCAAAGCTGCCAGAATCATGGCCTTCCTAATGATTCCTTCCTTTTACCAAAGTTTCATACTGTGTTTTTTTGACCATGCTTGGCCTTTGGTGACCTTATTCATCTTTATTTACTTTCAGAACAATAATAAAAAATCAAAATGATAGGTTAAGTAAAATATGTCCTAGAAAGAGTCAAAAAAGCATCTAGTGATGGCTCTCAGAGGCCTTGTTCCGAGTTTTGATAAAATGACATTGGAAGTATTTTGTCTCATATGCATAGTCCCACCTGCATTTTTAAATATAGCTGCAAGAAGATATGGTAGAAAAGGAAGTAGGAGGAAAGCAGATGTATAAATTCATCCACTTGTAGAACAATAAAACAATATAAAGCCCCCCCCCAAAGTGCAGTGGTTTATTATGAAACAGCTGATCATCGCCGTGCCAAAGGGAATAATCTTACTTTTATTTCCACCCCACCTGTTGCCCTTTATCTCTTCCTGGCCTTTTGTCTATTACACAGTTGAAGGTGGTAAAATACAGCATAAAAATGCCAAAGATTTTTGCTTCAGTAACATGATCCCTGGCACAGACTTGAAGAAGTTTCTTCATCAATGATCCTTCACGCCTCCAGCTCTGATAAACTGTTCGCTTCCTTCATGCCTTACTGTACACATGGTTCACTAACATACCATGAGAGGAAGGAAATATTTTTGTTTTAAAAAATGTATTAACAGTTTGCTGTCTAAAAAGCAGTTAAAAGAACAAAAGGAATATTTGGAAAAAATATTTTAAAAAATTATTTATCACTGCAAGTCTATTTGGTTTGGGCATGATCGGGATTGCAAAAAGGAATACAGTCTCTGAAGTGAGAAGCAAAGCACCAGGACTTGCTGAGCTGCTGCCACTCACCGTGCTGCCCGTGCAGCTGAGCCCCGGCCATCCTAGCAGCACAGCCCTGATGGGGAGAGGTGGAGAGGGCAAAGATGAAGAAATGTTGACTTGCCTGATTTATATATTTGGAGTGTGAGTATAAAGCTTCTGTCAGGTTGATTAAATTCTAGGAAGGCTAAGTCTCCTGACTTAGCTAGCGAGAGCTTTTGGTTCTTTCCTGAGCTTGATTCATCATTGCCCAAGGCCGCACAGTAATTTATTAAAGGCTTTAGGCGTATGTTGGCTCTAAATCCCTGTGAAATGTGATCCCTGCAGCTGCCAGGCAAGCTGTTGGCCTTGGGGATGGGACGGGATGGGGCTTCTGCATCCCACACGTTGGAGAGAGCTGGGACAGCAGCTCTGTGCAGAGTCCCTGCTCCTTCACCATCACCACCACTACCTCCCTTTGGGCTGGGAAAGAGCCTTTTGCCCTCGCTTGAGCAGAGAGAGGAACCTCCCAGCAAGAAATCAGTGCAATGGTATCTACATGCCCACTTCTGCCACAATTTTTACTAACTTTGTCTGTGTAACTTTAGAGGTTCTCTTGGTCATGAGTCAGGATTATCCCAAAGCCTTTTTTTTTTACTGAACAGCTCAGGTACTTTACATCCAAGCACAACATAGGAATAGCATTTATTTATTTATTTGTAGTGCCTACTGTTCAGTTTTGCTAAAATACCCACAGAAGTATAGTACAGTGGGGAACAATCATCTAAGTGATGATAATTTTTCACTTCTGTTGAGAAAGTTGTACTAGTGGATAATTAATTTTTTTTTTTAGGAACAGACTCCTGGAGTCATGGTATTATATGAAAAAGACAGTTTTATTTCCTGCTTATTTTCTTGCCTTCTTGTTTCTCATCATTCTAACCACTATGAAAAGATGCTTTAAAGCATGAAGGCTGATGCTTCCAAGCTAGGAGGCAAAAAGTGCCTCAGTTTCACTTATGACAAAACTACTCACTATTTCACAGTAGGGTGGACACTCAGAAGGGAACATGCCGTTCCCTCTGAAAAGTTTTTGTAGATCAGTGCATTGTCCTCTGTAATACCTTCAGCTGGAGCCAACTAGGCTGGAAGAGCAGGTGGGAGGAGTTACTGCTCATTGCCCTTTTCTGTCTCTCCCTGTGGAGGAAACTGTGGAATTTTATTTATTCTTCTGCTCAGGACTGACCTTCACCTGCAAGTTTCAGGCTACCGAGCTTGGTTTCACCTCTCAGAGAACACCTTTTCTTTATAAGATTGTTTCTTAACAAGGAGGAGCTGATCGATCACCCCAAGTGAGGGTGGTTCTTTTAACTGAATGATGAAAAGCTCTTCTTAGAGGACCATGACCAAAATGTAGATAAGACTTCAGAGTCTACCAGAAGAGGTTCTGGGCTGTGGATTCTTCTAGTATGGACAAGCAGACATGGTGTTTAAATTTTTCACTTTTGCTCAGTTGAACATTTCCTTCCAAACTAGAACCAACCCAATCTTTGGGGTTTTTTTTTCTGTCCCATCCAGCGATCTCAGCACTGCCTTGCCTGTGAAACAAAGACTTTTCCCCCCATTTTAACATAACACAAGGGATAGAATAAAGTATAAATAACAAGCCACTGAGGTTGGTAGGGAAACTGTTTGCATTTTTATGTTAAGATGGGGGTTTAGAAGAGAGAAAAACATGTCAGGAAGTAGCAAATAAAGCTGTGTGGTAAAACTATTGAAAGCAATATTAAATCAAAATAGGTTTTCAAAACCCATACAAAAGCATAACCTGAGTTTAAGCAATGAAGGCACTTAACAGGTTGTACTACAACACTGTGCCCAGACCAAGCAATTAGCCAAGCAGATTCTTACAGCTTCAAATGTCTCTAAAGCAGCTCCTGGCATTTATCCAGTTTTCACTGCATAAATGTTTGTGCCTAAACCAGAGGTATTTGTGATGGGCAACATTAAAAAAAGCTTTGGAGAGACTTCCTGCATTAGGTTTTGTCCTGCTTTGATTTGATTGTAGTTCTCTAGGCCTTTCACTTGCCATTTTGAATACAAAGTCTTTGCTAACGCTCTGAGTGTTACTTTGCCTAATTTGTAAGCTTGGAGGCCTGTGAATCCTTTATTTGAAATTTAGTTTAACTGTGGGAAATAGGAAGTGAGCAGGGAGAAGCAAATCTTTTATAGCGAGGCACTTGTTCAGACTATAAATTAGGCTCTGCACAATGGAAGCAGAAGGAGGCAAGCCTGCCTTTCTGGAGCCCGCGACGTGCTGGAAAAGATATGAGCTTTCAAGGATAACTGGGCAGAGACTGCTTTGCTGCATGTTTGTTTTATGACCACAGAAGAAAGACTTGCAGCTAATGTTTGTCTATGGAAAGTAGTTTAGTCAGTGACCTTGCACAGTCCTCAGGAAAGAGGATTCCCTCCTTAGCAGGAAACAAATAATAAACATTTCCATTTGTCATCTTTTGGGGATGTGTTGGGAAACTTTTAAAGCCTGTCTTTGATTTTACACAATGGGTATTCTCACAGCTTAACACCCCAGGCACCTACACAGCAATAAAGGATATTTATGCAGCACAGATCATTCTTGCCATATCTTCCGTTTGAAAATAAATATAAAGAAAGTATTAAATTACACAAACGCTGTGACTCTTTGAGTGGCTTCAGTAGGATAACACTTGATTTTCGGTGAAAGACGTGCTACAGGCTGGCTAAAGCTTAAGGTTTCAAGGAGAAGAGTGTTGGCCCTTTTTAAGTCAACGGGAAATTTGCCAGTAGTACCAAGATTTTGTGCCTAAGTTTGGCAACCGTTAAATGAATTTCAGTGATTTTCCTCATATAAACGATCTGGTGGAATTCAGCTTACTCAACATCACATATGTTTGTAGGATCAGGTTTTCCATGAGCCTGGTGTTCATGCGAGTGTAACATTTGTCTATTATTAAAGGAAAAGATTGCCCCCTCTTTTTAAGACATACCTTACTAGAACTCATCTTGTTGGGGCAGGAAATCTTCTGCATAGGAAGGTAACATTTTAAGGTGACCTAATAAAAGATAGGTTTTGTTTCAAGTAGCTTCCAAGACAGTTACATTTTTTTAAATATAAGAGTTCAATTTTCTCCTTTTTCCATAGCTTGTGGGTTTAACAGAGCTCTGTATAATCAGTATTCCCATATATAATCTAACTTTCTTTTGTTGCAATGAAAATCCACTCCCCTCTAGGAAAGGAGAGATCGTAATATTAAAATTACAGTTGACTCTCGGGGATTTTGAAGGACAGCTGACAAAAATTAGAAATACTCTAAACTGCTTTAATAGAAGAAATTGTGAATCAATAATGACCTTTTTATTCGTTAGCATCTCTTCCAGATGGAAGTGACTGTTGAAATACAGAGCATATAATAAATAATGTGTATTTCAATGTGAATCACTTGACAAACAATTTAAATACTGTCCTCACTGGGGAGGAAGTTGCCTGCCACTTAAACAGGCACTTGATCAGTTTTATAGTAGATATGAAGAGAAAGGGAAAAAAAAATAAAAAAGTTCTTTTCTGGAAACTATCAAAGCAATTTTAAGTGCATAATTCCCCATAAGTTGGATGTCAACAGTGAATGAGGACCTCATTTTTTTTTTACCTTTTCCTCTCTCCATGCCTCCCACTGATAAAAATCTATGTGTCAAGGCATTACCTTATACCCTTTTCAGTGGGAAGAAATGCTGCTTTATGGATCCACACTATATTTTCCATACTCTTATGACTTAGCCTTCGTCTCTGATGCTGATCCAGTCCCACCCTGTTTAGTTTATGCAGTCTAGTGAAGGCATAAATGACGGGGCCCTGACTTGCTCAGTCATGATGCAAGCTTTGTGGTGGATAAAGCTTTATGCCTCCTCTGCTTTCCCAATTTGCCAGTGAGATAGAATAGGGAGTAAACCCTATCACTGGGATGATCACACACCATGCAAACAAAATGGCTTGTAGCCACTGTAGTTGTACCTTTAAAGCACATTGGTGTGGATTTGTACATTTTTTTCTTCCAGAATAGCTTGAGTTTGCATACAGCAGTGTTAAAAACAAGTTCACACATACGAGCCTGTCCCCCACATGGCAGCCTCCTTGTTCAAGGTAAATTGTGCTGTACTAGCATCAGCAGAATCAAACACTCTTGGTATTTTCAGTCAAATCCATCTAAAATGGTACATGACAAAGTTTTAGGCCACTAATCAAAAGTAAAATGAAATGTGTTTTCTTGTCTGTGTTAACAATGCAGCAGTAAAATAATCCAACTACATTACAGTGGTACCTGGCAAGAACTGTGGGTATCAAAACTGCTCGAGAAGGTGTGTTTAAGTGTCAGACACTGGTAATTGAATTATCCTCAGTTTAGATTACTTCAGTGTCACTTACACTAAAAAAGTGGTTCAGCACTTGCTCTGTGTCCCATTAGAGTAGAAGTCTTTCATTTTTTGCTCAGGCTTTCTTTCATATATTGCTATTCATTTCTTTAGATATTTTTCAGATGTGAGTTTGGGTTTGTTTTTTTTTTCCTCAGTCAGGTCAGAAACACACCTTGATATATTGTATAGCAACAACAAAATTATGAAAAACTAAGTATTATAGACCCAGCAGGGTATATTTCCTCCCAATTTTATTGCTATCTGTCCAAGACTGAAGTATAACTTAATACAGGCTTCACCCTGCTTCACTCTGGCGTACCATAATCTGGATGAAAATTAAATTGTATGGAATGCGCAATTGAAGTCCTATGTCATTTAACTTACAGAGCTTTTGATTTCAGCTGTCTTTTAAACAGTTCCCAGGCTAGTTCATTAAAACTGCTGCTTGCTTACAATTGCTCATGTTCCTTCTGGTAATGTGTTCTGCAAACCCTTCCAAGTATCATGGAAATCTAAAGTTTAATTTCTCTCCAAGGCCAACATCTGTTTGTGCAATATTGCAGTAAAAGTATAACTGCATTTTGATTCCTTTAAGAAAGTATGAGTGAACAGGGCTTGATCAAGCAAAGTAATAAAATATTTGCTTAAAAAAGAACCAGGTATTTTTCAGAACAACAAAGAAAATATTGTGAGAAATTGATCAAGTCTCCTAGTCTTAGGGAAGAGTCCTGTGTGTGGCCTTTCCCATGTCATTCATCGCACTATTTCTTATTTCAAAGCCTTTGAATTGAAATATTGTTCCATTTCACTCACTGTAAAGTTAAGTGTGAGCTTTCACAGCTTTATTCTGCAGAAGATACTTTTTATTTCCAGTACTGATAAAGAAGCAACTCTTTGCATTGCCTCTTTTAGTATTATGTAGTTTGTCAAGGGTTTTGCTGCCATGCTGCCCAAAGGAATCTGTAGCATGCAAAGTCTGTAAAGCAGATTTTCTCTAGGGACTGACTCCTCCAATGGTGAAAAACACAAAAACTCATTGGAGCCACATATAGATAATATTGCATATTCACATAACTGCCAAAAGGCAAAGCTTGGAAAATTGTGATTCTTATTAGTTACCAGGGACAGCTTGTGATATATTGAAATGAGTGTAATAGGCAGCAACAGCAGCATCCTGGCTGCCTTCCCCTTCTCCAGGTTTATTTAGGGGTCAGTATCAAGGTTTTAAGACAGACTTGAAGCAAACAGTGCAGCATTCATTCAGATTTTTAGCATCAGTCTTACCATTCATAAACTGCAATGGAAGGGAGGCAAATGCATGTTTGAGGGGAAAGTGAATTAGGTGGCAATAAAGACAACCATCACTGGCAAAGGTACCTATTGATCTGTGTGGAGTGGGCTTTCATGGTCACAAGGTCATGTCTCCTGTTCTTGCCTCACCAAGTGTCACCGTTCCTGACACAGCCTAAGATGTTACAGCAACTTGAAGACTCCTCTTCTGTCATGATTTGACATTGCTAGTACTTCCTAACACAATATATCGGGCAGAAGACAACACAGGCTTTAGCCAAATCTTGATTGTATAAAAAGCAGATTTAAGTAACATGAAAAGGATTCTTTTATAGCCTTATTAATAGTGAAGGGAGAAGGAAATCCCATAATAGCTCTAGAATTTTTTTGTAACCAGTGCAGTTACAAAGAACAGCAAAACTTTCCTTATTACCATTGTAGGAATATTTTCCTATCTATAGATACTGAAAATATGGCCTTCTTTGTCAGGCTCTGAGTAGGTCTTATAATTGGGGACATTTTTCCTCCAAAGTCATATCCTTACTATTTCTTTTGATCTGAACAGTAAGCATTTAATATTAAATGATGGTTTTCAGCCCACCATACAGCAGCATAACATTGTCAGCCGTCTAAAGTAAATTACATTTCTCTAGGTGCCTATTCAGAAATCTGATTAGACTTCAATAACTTCAAATATTTTTCTTCTATTAACTGTAGGTTCTTATCAAAGTGTTGGATAACAATGATAATGGCCCAGAATTCTCTCAACAAAGTTATGATGTCACCATTTCAGAGGACATCCTCCCTGATACTGAAATTCTGCAAATTGAAGCTATAGACAGAGATGAAAAGCATAAGTTGAGCTACACTATTCACAGCAGCATCGATACAGTCAGCATGAGAAAATTCAGAATTGATCCCAGCACTGGGGTGCTCTATACTGCTGAGAGATTAGACCATGAAGCTCAAGATAAGCACATCCTTAATGTCATGGTAAGAATGCAATATTCACTTGTGTCGGGATACAATCACTGCCGCTTCAGGTGCATACGTGCCTTAGTGTTTGCATGAGCAAAGAATTCTTAGTGCAGTAAGTAGTCATTAATTTCATCTTTCCTGCCCTGCTGTGTATTTATTTTACATTTTTTATTTGGGAAACTTCATGTGAATTCATTGTATGGAATATGATATGATTTGCTATCTCAAGGGAAGCAACCAGGAAATTATTTAATCTCTTGGCATCTGGTCTTCTAACTCAAGGTAATTTTCAGAGTTTCTGAAGTGAGGCTGAAAGTTATTCAAGAAGTTATTCACAGGGAGATAACTGCTTTCTTTCCATACAGAATGCTACAGCCTCTCTGAATCAAGCCTAATTTATAGTTTACTTTTACAGACTTATTTTAGTACACAAGCTGTAGATACACAAAATAGCTTTCAGCTACATTTCCAAATGTTTGGGTATGTAGAAAAAAAGTTAATTACCATTTTTTATTCAGTGTGCCTAAATTACAAAACAGAAGTCTGTCTGTTTTCAAGTGAAGATTGTATATTATGGACTGGAGGTTAATTGGGAAAAAAAAAATCTCTGATGGTTTAAACATTGTAGTCCACTGTTTTCTTTATCCACTTAAGACTCCTACAGAAGTGATCTTTGAAGGAACAGCTCATGACCTGTTAGGTACAAGGCCATCTCTGGGTGGGGTAGCCCAGGAATCAGAGAGCTGCTGTGAGATCCAGCAACAGGAGCTGAGTGGGGTCTCAGCTCACAGTGTGACAAGCTGTAAGTCCTTTGGAGAGCAGGCTAAGAAATAAAATGAAGCACAGAAACACAACTGATGGTCATTTCCTGGTGCTTGTGTTCAATCTCCACCTGATGCAGTAAGGGTTTTGTTCTACTTATGGAGAACCCAACTTTTGGGGATCATGTTGGCAGGATTATCAGTGTAGCAACGCTGAGATTTTTAGTACAGGGTTGAGAGAGGTGTGATAAATGATACTTCTGTTGGGCATGCTCAGCACTTAAGGTAATTTCTACTGTTTACTATTGGTATCATCGTCTTCAAAAAGTTATGTACATACATAATGGTGAAAAAGTCCATTGACAGCTACAAGCACTAGACTGACACATGACTGCCCATAGAGGATAACTTTGTTTGTAGCTCTTTGAGAGAAGGAACAGTGGGCAAAGTATGTTTGCTCCCATGCCATAAAGCAGGGATTGGCAGGGCAAAGGCATGACCATTTAGCATGTATTAAAAAAAAAGTATTTCTTGCAAACCTAAAACCAAATTTAAGATGCCATGTGGTTGCCACTTTAAAAATTCATGTCATGATGATTACGTGCCATGTTTTCACAAATGAAAAAAAAAAAGTCTCTAAGCTCTTCCTGTTTCTTTAATTTTACTATGTACCATCTTGCTTGTTAATGTATTTTAGACTGTTCTTTGGGAAAATTTGATTTTTTATTACTTTTTATTAAACAGAAATGAAAGTATTATTAGCATTCATGACTATTTTTTATGAAGTTTTATTAGATGGATATCAAGATGTGTATAATGCACTTGTTCAATAGGTCCGAGATCAAGAATTCCCTTACAGAAGAAACCTGGCCAGAGTCATCATAAATGTGGAAGACTCCAATGACCACAGTCCATACTTCACCAGCCCGTTGTATGAAGCCTCAGTGTTTGAATCAGCAGCAGTTGGATCAGCAGTCTTGCAGGTCACAGCTTTGGACAAAGATAAAGGAGAAAACGCGGAGCTTATCTACACTATTGAAGCAGGTTAGGACAGAGGCTGAAAGTGTAGCATCATGATTCATACACAGAGCAGTGCTGTGATCGTGATCCATCTTGACACACAAGTCATCTCCTTTGGTCTTCCCTCCCCTGTAGAGTTGGGCAAAGGAGACACCTTTTTGTTGGCTGCTTTTTATTTTGAAGCTACGATACCCAAAACCTGTCAGAACAGAACCTCATTCATGTTCACTACAGAGTCTTTTAACTCTAAGTCATTGGTTCAAAACCATGACAGAAGATACTTAGTGAAAGCTGCAGACAGTGACTTATTTTCAGGTTGCTGGCTTCAGTATAGTACACAGTGGATCCTCCACAAACAAATGCCACCACAGCTGGTATGTCCTGGCGTCTTTGTCAATATTCAGATCATAGGAACATGGAAACTAACACCAGAGCTACACTAAAAACTTATGCCAGCAAAGCCTAACTTCTGCCAGCAAAGCCATAGCAGCTTAGTGGCACAAGGTCTCTTGAAACTAAGGGAGGGCATGGTGTTACCATATTAAAATTGTTTATGCTGTTCAGCTGTGGATATTTACATTCACCACATAATCTGTACAAGCAAAAGCATTCCTCTGCCGGTGTAATGGCACAGTCATGGGAGATGTGTGTTTTCTCTGCCACACATGCAAGTGAATGTAACTTTCTCTGGCTCATATGGACCTGAAGTTAAGAAATATCTCTGAGATAAATCATTTACATACCTACAAAAGGTGTGCCAGGAAAAAACAGAGAAGTATAAATTTCTAATCTTTGGGTTTTATAATGTTTAATTTCTACTTAAGTAGAACTTATTAGTCAGATCCCAAGGCTTTCCCAGCATTAGGTTCTGATCCTACAGGATCATTATTTATGCCTATATTATTCTAAAGACTTGTCACTAGCTAGGATGGCTTACATCTTTTAGGAACAGGCTAAATGACAAAAAATAAGTAATGGAATGCAAAAAATAAGTAATGCTCTGTGGGAGTCCCTTAAGTACACCATAACATTAAGACTTTTGTAACTAGAAGTGCTGAACTTGGACCCTTGTGATACTACAAAGATCTTGAGATACTACAAAACAAGTATTTCCTTTATGCACTGCATTTGGTCTTACCAGTTATTTCTCAGTATTCTCCAGTGGTCTTTAACTTAGATCAGGGAAAATTTGCACATGCCCAGGTAGGACAACATTACCTTATAGAATGAACTTTGAGCAGTTTTGGTCCCCACTATGTGAAAAAGATGTGAACAGGCTGGAGAGGATCCAGGCAAGGGCCATGAAGATGATCAAAGGACTGGGAAGCCTACCATATGAGGAAAGGCTGAGAGAACTAGATTCGTTCAGCCTTGAGAAAAGAAGGGTCAGGGGAGACCTTATCACCATGTTCCAGTACTTAAAGGGTGGCTACAGAGAAGATGGAGACTCTCTTTTTACAGGGAGTCACATAGAAAAGACAAGGGGTAATGGGTACAAATTACTCCTGGGGAGATTCTAATTGGACACAAGAGGAAAATTTTTCACATTGAGAACAATCATCCACTGGAATAATTATCCCCAGGGAAGTGGTGGAATCCCCAACATTAGACATTTTTAGGATTCAGCTGGACAGTGTCGGGTCATCTTGTGTAGTCTGTGGTTTTACCAAGAAAGGTTGGACCAGATGATCCTTGAGGACCCTTCCAACCTGGTATTCTATGATTCAGACCAGATCAGGTTCCTCAGGCAATGTTTTTCAAGGCTGTTCCCAGCTTTTTTCTTGATGACTTAGTACTATTATGGGTTCCAACCATATATAGGTGCACCACAATGTAAAAAGCAATCTGATATGCTAGAAGTATGGCTGCCATACACAGGTAGTGGAGTAATACGTGATGCTGACAGAAAACTACAGTGATTAGAAAGGATGCTTTAGGTATTAGATGGTCTTTTTTTAGTCTACATGTTTGTTTTGTTTTTTTTTTCTAGAGGCTCTTGCTTCCATTACAGCCTGTGCCTGTTTCATCATGAGCTCTCCATGCAGCGTCCGACTTCAAACTTCCATTTACTATAAGCCGCACACTCCCCCAGTTTCATTATCCACAGATATTCCAATCCTAGATGCATCAAAATTCAGTCTTCTGCTGCTGTAGTTTCTATGATCCATAAAATCTGCAGTTGAGGATACCGATTTTAACTGCAACATTCAGATTGTACACAGTCCTTTCATTCAGGGGAATTGCTTGCATCACCTTAAAAGTGAAGTGTGGTATTGGTAAATAAAGTAGCTTTTGTGTAATTTCGTAAGAAATTCCTAAAGGAGAAGAACCAGCTCTGGCCTTACATGAGGCAGTGGCTAAAAATTATTTGTATTAGTAAGCACTGACAAAATAACTGCAGCAGCATTTGTAGTCTCTGCAAATGTGACAGATGCTGTGATCTTTATGAGAATTTGCAGCTCTGGCAGAATCTCAACTCCTCAGTGAATAGCACAATTTTTGTTTTAGCTAGTAGAGTAAACTTTACTGATCTGAAAGGATGGATATAAATAGAAAGCCACTTCAAGTATTGAACTACATACAGTAGTATGTATCTTAAATTAGCCTCCAAGCCCCAGAATTTACAACAGATAGTGAATCACATCTTAAAAACAGTTTACATTAATTCACTTCATTTAGGATTCCATGTATTTGGTATTCCAGCTACAATTTTCACATTTACTGCTCTGTGCGCACCACCTCTAACAATCAACATTAAAAAAAATAGTCTTGTTTATCACCAGTTACCTGAGACATTTTTCTCTCCAGGTCATGGATGGATGCTTGACTGTCAGTTGGAAGCAATTCTAGATTTTAAAGTGTAAATTACAATAGCAAGAGCATGTTATAATGATTGGAATTGCTGTAACTCAGAACATGCTGTTTGTATTTAGAATCAAATTCAGAAAAATAGTCTGTATGCTTATACATGCCATGCTCACTGCAGGGGCGTTGGACTAGATGACCTTTAAAGGTCTCTTCCAACCCAAGCCATTCTATGATTCTATGATATACACACACCGCATCCTATACTTTAAGCAAGCACTCAAGGAACCAGCAAAATACAGATTACCTAATAAAGGCAAACTCTAATTACAGGGTAGGGATACATATCAAAAGTTTTGAGTCTGTCTTGCTAAAAAAAGAGGTTGGCAAAAAGACTAAAAGGAAAATAAGACCGCAAAGAAGATCCTTAATCCATACTCACTGTTTTCACCTTTATGCAGTCAGTGATATCCCTGCTTTCATGTTATAGCAGACATTTCATGACATTTTCTGCTAAATCTCATTCATCTAGATTCATCCTCCTCAGAGATCATGTGATAAACCTTTGTGCCACAAGATACTTGAATCTCTTTTCTGTGCTATTTGTTCTGTTTTATTTTTCTAAATGCCACTTTAACCTTTTTATATTCAGTTCTTTAAGTCTTGAACTACTGTAATCTTCTCTATGGTTCCTTAATATCCCCTTCAATTAAGAGCCTGAGTTGTTACCCATTTGTTATGTAATTGGCTTGTTAGCCTCTGATCTAGTTTCTTTGCCTCAGGTGTACATGTATTTGACTAATTCCCATAATTCAGGGATGCTTTTTCCTACTTCAGTAGAAGTAGTGTACATGCAGCACTTACTCAGATGTTGATACTCAGAATCAAGATAAAGATAGCAGCACCTGAGTTTCTGAAAGTTTGAGCACCTGTACTGTCTACTGAGATGCCTGATTTTCAGCAAGGAATGATGGAAGGCCCATTAGAATTATTTTATGTTTTGGTTTTGGGGTTTTTTTTTCCAATAACTACTTATAACAAATTGTAGCTAATTGTTCCTGGTTTAAATTATCATTAAGTGCACTGTATTTCATTTCTAATATGCTTCCAATATTTGTGTTTTAGGAAATACAGGAAACACATTCAAGATTGAACCAGTTTTAGGGATCATTACATTACTGAAGGAGCCAGACTTAACCACAGTGGGACAGTTTGTTTTGTCAGTCAAAGTGAGTGATCAAGGTTCTCCACCACTGTCTGCAACAGCAATTGTGCGAATATCTGTGACGATGGCAGATAATTCCCACCCTAAGTTCACTCTCAAAGAATACCAAGCGGAGGTTAATGAAAATGTGGATATTGGTACTTCTGTCATCTCTCTCTCTGCAATCAGTCAGTCCACATTAGTTTATGAGGTTAAAGATGGGAATGTGGATGGAGTTTTCGCTATAAACCCATATTCTGGAGTGATCACCAGTCAAAAAGCCCTTGATTATGAACATGTTTCCTTCTATCAGCTCATCATACAGGCAACAAATATGGCAGGCATGGCATCAAATGCCACTGTGAACATTCAGATTGTTGATGAAAATGATAACTCACCAGTTTTTCTCTTCTCTCAGTACTCAGGCAGCATAAGCGAAGCTGCTCCTGTAAATAGCATAGTCCGGAGTGCAAATAACAGTCCTCTCGTGATACGTGCCACTGATGCTGACAGCAACCAGAATGCTCTGCTTGTCTACCAGATTGTCGAATCTACTGCAAAAAAGTATTTCACAGTAGATTCCAGCACAGGTGCAATCAGAACAATTGCAAATTTAGATCATGAAACGATAGCCCACTTCCACTTCCACGTACATGTTAGAGACAGTGGGAATCCCCAGCTTACAGCAGAAAGCCCAGTTGAAGTGACCGTTGAGGTAACTGATGTCAATGACAACCCACCAGTCTTCAGCCAGGCCGTGTTTGAGACAGTCTTGCTCCTGCCCACATATGTTGGTGTTGAAGTTCTCAAAGTCAAGGCTACAGACCCAGATTCAGAGATCCCTCCTGAACTAACATATAGTCTAATTGAAGGCAATATGGAACATTTTTTAATTGATTCAAGCACAGGGGTGCTCACCATTAAAAACAATAGTCTCTCCAAAGACCATTATATGCTAATAGTAAGAGTATCCGATGGGAAATTTTATAGCACTGCTATGGTTACAATCATGGTAAAAGAAGCCATGGATAGTGGGCTCCATTTCACACAAAATTTTTATTCCACTTCTATCTCTGAAAACAGCACCAATATCACAAAGATCGCTGTGGTGAATGCTGTTGGTAACCGTCTCAATGAGCCTTTGAAATACAGTATATTAAACCCAGGCAACAAATTCAAAATCAAATCCACCTCAGGAGTGATTCAGACAACTGGCATCCCCTTTGATCGAGAGGAACAAGAGCTGTATGAGTTGGTGGTGGAAGCAAGCCGAGAACTAGATCACCTTCGTGTCGCTCGAGTGGTGGTGAGGGTTTACATTGAGGACATAAATGACAATGCCCCGGTGTTTGTAGGGCTCCCATACTATGCTGCTGTGCAAGTCGATGCTGAGCCTGGTACCCTGATATATCGAGTGACAGCTATTGATAAAGATAAGGATGAAAATGGTGAGGTGTCATATCTTCTGAAGGAAGACTACGGACATTTTGAAATTGATAGAGGAACTGGCAGCGTCACTTTAAAAGAAGCCTTCAATTCTGATTTATCCAATATAGAGTATATGGTTGTCGTTCTTGCAAAAGATGGTGGTAACCCATCGTTGTCTGCTTCAGTAGAGCTCCCCATTACCATTGTTAACAAAGCGATGCCTGTATTTGACAAGCCCTTCTATACAGCCTCTGTGAATGAAGATGTAGAAATGCACACACCAATTTTAAGTATAAATGCAACCAGTCCAGAAGGCCAAGGTATCATTTATATCATTGTTGAAGGAGATCCTTACAACCAGTTTAATATTGACTTTGATACTGGAGTTCTGAGTGTCATCAGCCCACTGGACTATGAAATAAATTCTCTTTTCAAGCTGATGGTGCGAGCCAGTGATGCCCTCACTGGTGCTCGAGCTGAGGTCACTGTGGACTTGATAATTAATGATGTGAATGATAATCCTCCAATTTTTGATCAGTTGGCCTATAATGCTACTTTGTCTGAAGCGTCTTTGATTGGGACTCCAGTACTGCAGGTTGTTGCTATTGATGCTGACTCTGACAATAACAAGATTGTGCAGTATCAGATAGTCCAGGACACCTTTAACAGCACAGACTATTTCCATATAGACAGCACCAGTGGCCTAATTCTGACAGCCCGGATGCTGGATCATGAACTCATGCAGCAGTGCAGCTTGAAAGTCAGAGCAACCGATAATGGGTTCCCACCACTAAGCAGTGAGGTTCTTGTTAGTATCTCAATAACAGATATGAATGACAACCCTCCAGTTTTTAACCAGTTAATATATGAATCGTATGTGAGTGAACTGGCACCTCGAGGGCATTTTGTGACTTGTGTCCAAGCTTCTGATGCTGACAGCTCTGATTTTGACAGACTGGAGTACAGCATCTTATCAGGAAACGATCGGACCAGTTTTGTTATGGACAGCAAGAGTGGTGTTATCACACTTTCCAACCATCGGAAACAGAGAATGGAGCCCATGTACAGCCTAAATGTCTCTGTGTCGGATGGGCTGTTCACCAGCACAGCTCAGGTGCACATACAGATCCTTGGGGCCAACCTCTACAGCCCTGTGTTTTCGCAGAGCGTTTACGTTGCAGAGGTTAGAGAAAACGCTGCTCCTGGAACTAAGGTAATCCACGTGAAGGCAACAGATGGGGATTCAGGTGTATACGGCCAGATAAGCTACTCCATAATAAATGACTTTGCCAAGGACCGGTTTTTGATTGATAGCAATGGACAGATTCTGACAACTGAGAGGTTAGACAGGGAGAACCCGCTGGAAAGTGATATTGGTATATTTTTGAGAGCCCTCGATGGAGGTGGCAGAACTACCTTTTGCACTGTGAGAATGATAGTAGTGGATGAGAATGACAACGCTCCTCAATTTATGACAGTTGAATACAGAGCAAGCGTCAAAGCAGATGTTGGGAAAGGTTACTTGGTGACCCAAGTGCAAGCAGTAGATCCAGATGATGGAGCCAATTCCAGAATTACCTACTCTCTGTATAGCGAGGCCTCCATTTCAGTAGCTGATCTGCTTGAAATAGATCCAGACAATGGATGGATGGTCACCAAGGGTAGCTTTAACCAACTGAAAAACACAGTTCTGTCATTCTTTGTCAAAGCAGTTGATGGTGGCATTCCAAACATTCCTGTAAAGCATTCTCTCATTCCTGTGTACATCCATGTTTTACCTCCAGAAACTATTTTGCCTTCTTTTTCTCAACCCCAGTATTCTTTTACCATAGCAGAAGACACAGTCATAGGTAGTACCATTGACATTCTGCATGTTTCACCTAATCAGGGTGCTTTGTACAGCACAGTTAATGGTGAGCTGACTGAAAACAACAAAGATGGGGTTTTCATCATAGAGCAAGACACGGGGCTCATAAAACTGGATAAGAGAGTTGACCATGAGACAAATCCTGCATTTCACTTCAAAGTTGCAGCCACCATTCATTTAGACAAAATAGACATTGTGTTGACTGTGGATGTGGAGGTTAAGATATTGGATATAAATGACAACAAGCCCGTGTTTGAAACAGCTAGCTATGATGCAATAATCATGGAAGGGATGCCCGTAGGAACAAAACTTATGCAAGTTAAAGCAACTGATGCAGACTCGAGTGCAAATGGACAGGTCACGTATACACTTGCAGTGGAATCGGAGTTGGAGAAGATCACAGAAGCATTCACCATTGATAGTAACAGTGGCTGGATCAGCACACTGAAGGATCTGGACCATGAAAAGGATCCTGCTTTCACCTTTGCAGTGGTGGCCTCAGATCTGGGGGAAGCTTTATCCTTGTCATCAACCACTTTGGTCTCAGTTACTGTGACAGATATAAATGATAACGCACCTGTCTTTGAGTATGAGGTGTACAGAGGGTCAGTGAAGGAGAGTGTCCCACCAGGGGAAGTTGTGGCTGTTCTTAGCACCTGGGATGAAGACACATCTGACGTCAACCGACAGGTTAGCTACCATATTACAGGTAAGAAACAAATTGCATGTTTTCTTCCCAGAATGAGCTTTACTGAAGAACTGTGCATGTGTCCAGTTTTAGGTCAATGTTTAGCAGGGTTTCAGCTAAAACAGAGCTGTGAATCGTGCAATTGTATCTTTCTCTGATTTTTTTTTTTTAATTTTATTTTGACAGAATTTGCAGCAACTAGCTTAGATTAAAAGAGGGAAAGGGAGTGTGTGTCTGTCTGTCCAGGTTATTCTCTCTCTAATTTCCAAGATTAATGCTTCATGATTTGCTGCAGTGCAATGTGGTGTGACCAATCAACCAATTATAATAGATGTGTCAGCTTGGAAACCATCATGACTTAATGTTTCAATCAAAGGAGGAAGAACATTTTATTCTTAAGAAGGAAATCTTTGCATTTCCAAGCATTTAATTTTTTTTGAAATAGCATTTTTCTTTTTGAGATAGGAAGGTGCATGCAGGAGCCACTTTGACATGCCACTATTTATGAGGGGAGAAAAAAAAAAAAAAAAAAAAAATTACTTTTATATTGGAGGGAGATGCCATTTCTTATCAGCATAGATTTCTGGCCAGGGAAATAGTAATCCACTCAGAAGGACTGGTTAGCTGCCATGCATTGTTATATACAGCATAAGGCAATTTCAATTACATTACTAACATATTTTTCAAAGCATGGTAACATTGCTCTTTCCTATTGTGCCATATTTATTATCATTCTTTTCCAGTAGATTTTGTTTCAAAAAAACTTTGTTACTCCCCCCAACCTTCACAATCCAAGAGCTAATATTAATTACATAGTAATAACCAGATTATTGGGCAAATTCAGACAAGACTGCATGTAAGTAGCAGGCTATGGGCAAAAATGACTTAACGAACCAGATAACTGTTTGTATATTTTGCTCTGGGGGATAAGACTCCTACTTCTTCATCCCCTATCAGATTGGAAATGGCTGTGGGATGGTG